ACTTATAGCCATGCATCTCCAGGATCACGGTTGCTGTGGTGTATATGAGCTTGTTGGTCTCAGTGATGGTCGTAGTAGGGATTGTTCTTAGTGCTGCATTCACATCATCTAGTAGACTTTCAGAAGGCACTTCACTTAATCTTGGTAACCGGCCACGGGAGTTCCAAGTGTCCAACTTGCTCATGATCTTCAGTCTCAGGTCAGCAGCCCTTGATTTAAGCTCATCTGGTCTTGTTATTGGGGCTTGGTACCCAATCTCCAATTGTGGGGGTGATGATGATATCTCCCCCCTGACCTGTCATCCTGGCTCCCCCTTGCTGGAGCATTTGTGTTGTACCTCATCAATCTCTAGTTGTGATAGCAGGTGCTTCTTGCAGATGTTAGAGCACTGAGCTACTAGTTGTTTCACTAGTTGTTTCGATGTTAGGTTTCGAAGTATCCATAGGTCCCACATCCTCCGTATGTAACCCCTCTCGCTGGGGTTACTTGTATAGTAGCATTCCAATAGTTCCCTGTTCTCCTCTCTTGTCCATGAATGCCTTGTTCCAGCAGCCCACTTCTCATCAGGTTGCCCTGGTTCCTCAACACCTGATGTGGACCTTGTTGACCTGGGCAATGTCCGAGCCAGTGTGACTCTTATTTTTTCAACTCTCATTGCCCCATGAGGTAGGCAGGTAGCATTAAGGGCCTTGCCTAAGGACCCAGGCGGGATATTGACCGCGCCCTGACCGGGGTCAGTGGTGTTAGTGGAGAGATTATATATATTAAAACAGGCAAAAACATGCTTGTCAGAGATGTGTAAAAATCTGAAATGTCTATATATGCCTTATCATAAATAGCCTACATAAGTAATCTACCACTTCTAAACAAACCAAAGCTTCTCTGTATTTACAAAACAATTTCAAAAGTAGCATTTTTGTCAAATAATCTTAGAATTAGTCTTCAACAAGTCTTAGAATGCAGCCTTTTGAAAGGCGGGTATCAATCAACATTACAACACTAAGGCAGTTTCCGATAAACCCACAGGTCACAACTTTTTTGCCTTAAAACTGGTCGAACAGTCAAAAGTATTTAATATTAGAAGAAAAGTAGAGTCAGAGATGATCAGGCTCCAAAATGATTCTTATACTGGTCAGTCTTGACTTGGCATTTCAAACCAGCTAAATGATGTCTGCTGGTCCCAATCACCTCTTTTGAGAAGAAAAAAAATTTCAGACACAGACTGTCAGCTACAGTACTGGATCCACAAAAGGTTGTTGTCCAAATTCTGAGGCTCAAATGACTTAAGTGCCCAAACTGGTTAATGTTGTGGTGGCTTTTCAATTTGTAATCACAAATTCCAGTCCAAACATTAATGCATAAATGACCCAATGCAATATATTTGTCGCTGACAGGAAAGAACCCTTGCTGTGCAGCTTACAGCAACACACATAAATTATAAAAATAAATAAATAAATAAAGCACAGAAGCATACATAAAAAGCTATTGGAATTCATCCTTCACGCTGACCAGCAAGTTTGGATCATTAGTGGCTAGTGACAGCTCTTACCTGAATGCTGAATGTTGCAGGGCTGATGAAACAACACCTCTCTGTCTCGGTGGATCTACAAAGAAACAGGAAGACACTGAATCAGCCTCAGCAGCATGTGATCGTCACCTGCAAAGAAATAATGATGCAGACCAGCATGTCTGTTAGGAAGTGCTGCTCAGTATACAGGATGCAGAGGCAACAAAAAGACATTCTTTATAAAAGCAAGCTTAAGAGTATTAACCTGATTTAGTAAACACACACTGTGGCTCCTTCTCCTAGAGGAACTGTTTGGAAATATCTAACTTTTGTCTGACTTTAGTTTTCAAAACCCACAGTCACACTGCCACCAACTCACTAACACTAACACACAAATGCACCATGACTGTCAGAGATCTGTGGTTGGCTGTAAAGACACAACACCAGGGCTGTGCTTCCTCCTTGGGGGGAGGGGGGGTGGTGGTTAGCTACAAAAGCCACAGACACTCCCTTCTTTGCAGGCAACACAAAAGCGCCTGTTTGGCCAGAGCTGTGCAGATTGACAGACAGCTCTGAATGGGAAGCTAACAGAGTCAGAGAGTTTTAATGAACGCCATAAATGACATGCCTAATGAGATGAGCTTTGACTTTGAATGTGCCCCTCATTCAAACTGAGTAAGCTAAAAAAGATTAATAATCTATTAACAAGGCCAAATTGCCCAGACCAAGGTCTTCAGCACAGACCCTCATTACAAAAGCCTTGTTGGTCAAAAACTTGACATTTTTAGGGGTCAGGTGATTTCTGAACTGAGATAAAAATATGATAATAGAGGACAGATGCAACTGTAGTGTTATGTACCTGTTTAAAATGGTTTTAGTCCTTCATTGATTTCTTTCTTTCTTACTTCCTAGCTTGCCTATTCATCTCTGTAATTATTCCCATTTAACTTCCAACACCAGTAAACCCAGGTTAAGCCTGGCTCAGATCAACAGGCTTTAACATGGCCCTTTAAACTTGACTTTGTAAGACTTGTAAAAAGGAACCTCCAGATATTGTATAAACAGGCACCAAATCTAAAGGCCACAGCCTTTATTCTGAAAGAGGAACCAGATAAACAAAACATAGATATTGTTCCACCAAAATGTAAAACAAAATCCACATGAGCACCTCTAAAGTACAATAAATAATACAAACAAAATATTCTTCAATTCGTAAAAAAAACCAAACCAAAAAAGATACGAGGCAGGAAGTTAAAAACAAAAACTCACAGCCATAAGACAAGTGAGGATGAGAGAGTGTCAACCAACCAACAAGGTCAATAATGTGACCCACTATCCTGACCAAATAAACCTGGGTGAGGAGACTGAGCTCAATTTCTAAACAACTAACCCTCAGATTGTCCTGGTGTCCACACTGCTGACAAGCCTACTGAGACCCAGAGAAACACTGAGCTCTGTTGTCAAGGCCTGAGAGTGGTGAGCATATGAATGTGTGTGTCACAGTACTCACTGTGACCACACTTCTGCATTCCTTTAAACACACTCACAACTACTTACATGTACATACCAACTAGCACCGTGTACATTCACCTCCACCATGCAAATTATAAACACTTACTTATGCTAGTTCTTTCACTCATCAAATCTGATGTGCACACAACAGAACCAGCCACAAAGAGATGCATGCACAGACAGCACACATAGGCTTTTCTTTTCTCATGGCTGTGTTCAGATATCAAATAGACCCCACTGAGAGATAACAAATACCCTGACGAGGAATGTTTAGCTGGTCACAGAGGGCGTCAGTACACAAACACACAGAGACACATAATTGCATGCACAGGTTCTGCACAAAAATGACGGTTGCCAGTGACTGCAACAAATTACAAAAGGTTACATGGCATGGCCTTAGAGAGAACAGTGACAGCAGAACTTCAAACAGAAACAGAGGATCCAGCATAAAATACAGATGAAAGCCAAAGTAAAAAAAAGCAGCATCTTTAAGTGTTTTAATAGACTGTTTACCCACTGTGAGCCAGAAACTGATTCAGTGTGTTTTGGCTCTGATTCTACAATAAACTAAACCCCTAGGCATGATGGAATATGAAGTGGATACAACCCCCAAGGAGTGGACATATGTGGAAGTATGTGCTATTAATGCAATTATATATTTGATTCATATGTTTCAGTTCATAGTATTGGATGAAAAGATGAATGTTGACCACATGTCTGAAGAATGAATGAACACAGCTCAGTCTAAACAAAGTAGAATATTCGCCAGTTTCAATTATAGCATCAACTTCTCTTTTCAATTCATAGCTCCTCGTTCAGCTCAGCAGTTACATTTAGGGCTGAAGGATTAATTAGATTTTCAATTAAGATTTTGGCTTTCAGTGATTATGAAAACAAGATAATCAAGATAAAGTGTTACGGTGGGTAGAGCAGTTGTCTCCCAACCAGAAGGTTGAGGGTTCAAATCTTGGTGCCGGCAGTCCACATGTCGAAGTGTCCTTGGGCAAGACACACTAAGTTGCCCATGATGGTGGCGCGTATGCACGCAGTGGCCCGGGGCCCTCAGCTCCAAACAAAATTTCTTGTATGTGTCACAATGCTACAATGACAATAAAATAAAGCTTCTTGTTATTGTTCCGCAAGCAGTTTTTGTTACATATCTTAAATGTCTCTTTTCATCCTGATGGCAATGAATACATTAAATGCACTGACAACATAAAGAAAAAAATCCATCATCTTTGGTAGCAGCAGAGGTGAAAAAAGCCTGACCAATAATTTTACTTGGCATGAGTAAAACCATTAAATGGCCTACCTGCCTGACAACCTAACTTCCTACTTGCATGCACTGTGCCTATGCATTCAATGAGTGAGCCAAGGGTCTCCCACAAGGAACTGCAGTTGCAGGCGGACATGTTACCACTCTGTTTTGATAGCTAAAATAAACGAACTATGGCAGAGAAGGTACCCACAGCAGCTTTCATTTGCAAACAGAGACCGTTGTTACAGGCCAGGCTTTTCCCTTATAGAAACGGTTGTCATTGCCAGAAGCTGCTACCTGCATGCAGTGTGCACATGTGATCCAGAATGGCATCAACAGAGATGAAGGGGAAACTACCTTGCAATTTACTGGTCACAAACATGATCAGAAACAAAAAAGGAGGTTAAAAGTCAGAGGTCTGTGCACATGTACAGATGTTTCTTTTTCCTTAAAAGAAACACTAAGGATGAAGGGAGAAAGTAGGGTTGGATATGAGATGGTGAATATGTTTTGTCCAGTGCAATCCAAGAAGCACAAGATGTCAGCCAGTTAGTCAGCCACTCATTCAACCAGTCAAATACATTCATCAAGTGTTCCAGGCTGTTAGCAGGCTTGCAGACAGATCAATTGACCAGTGAGCTAGGTACTCCCCCTCTAAAAGATTGTACCCTGATTCAGAACAGCCCAGTGCATATTTGTAGTGCCGAGGGAACCTAAACCATACTCGGTAAAAACACATCTGTTTTAAAAATTAAAAGGGGGTTTGGTGTGTGTAAGCCGGGGCAGGCAAAATTTGGGCCACTGCCTTGTTTCTAACTGAGCATACAGCTAGCAAGCTTTCACAGCACTGAAAGATGCAATGGCTGACTGAATAACTGTTTCCAGCCAGGTATGCATACATAGTTTGATCCCAGCTATGGGCTGGAAGCAAATCTGAATGCAAGGTTTTTCTCTCTTGCACCTTGGAAGTGCCCTGAAATCAACTTACCAAACACTTAAACAGAATAAAAGCAAACACATCACCTGTCAGACAGTAACCCAACTGCTACACAGGTTTGTTTTGGATTATATTTAGATTGTGAGACCAATTCTGACATGCTGCCTCTATTGAAATGCTTTTCTCTAACGCCCTCATCATAGAGAGATCAGAGGTCACAGGCAATGACAGAACTGTCCACAGGTGGAGCTGACAGTGACACTGATTTGCTGAAGAACATGTCTGCAGGGTGGAGAATTGCATGTGCCCTAGTTAAACGACTGTTTGTGATTAGCAGAACACTTGTATTGTTTTATTCAGATTCATATAATTTGAGATGGACAGCATAATAAGCACTTTGACTACAGAGAACAACTTTTTCTGTGACCTTAAAATGACCAAAAATGCTACATGCTACGCATATGCTAAAGGAAGAAATAAGTGCCATGGAAGGCCTGTGTCATGCCATCTATCTGCCAAACCACATGTGATATTTATTGTAGTGCCATGTTAGTTGGTATAAAGGCTTATTCACAGTTGGTACTTGGTAGGTGGAGTGAAGATGTGCTTCATGAGTGCAGGCCAGGAGAGATTCTGGAATGTGAAATGCTGGTTGGAATGAAGTCATTTGGCCAAATGCTTGTTTCCATCAGAGGCCAGAGGAAACCATTAGCCCAACGCTGCCTTTTTCCCACACCATCATAGCACTCCCATCTTCCCCTCTCTCATTCACTCTCACACATGCCCTTACTATTTCACTCCTCAGGTAAAATCAACAGCAATTTTATAAAGTGTCAATAGAGTAAAGAGAAGTGTTACATATACCAGAGTGATCCAATTCATAGATATTTTTCTCTCATTACCTGACAGTCTGCTCTACAGTGTTTCTGTTGATTCTAAAACTGATGGTCAAAACCATGCATGACACGTCAAATGTCAACTGTGGCACAGTTCATGGTTTAATGTATGCATTATAATGAGCAGTTCAGCATAGTTTAGATTATAGTTAAGAGTTATCAAGTAACAGGAAATAACTCGGTTTTGAGTCATTTGTTTAAATTAAACCAGTTCAGCCCTGGTTTGACAACCATTAGCTGATATATTTGCAAGGTTTCATCTAGATTCTTCTAGTTTTGTTTGTATCTTTGAACTGTACATTGGTTAATTTTACAACTTTTTTTTATTCTTTATATTATACACCGATCAGGCATAACATTATGACCACCTGTATGCATTTCAATGCAACACTTCAGCCTTAACATTTGTGTTTATGAAGCTCAATATGTTTCAGTTTTTGGTGAGATTGTCATAAATGTATAAATTCAATTATCAAAGGTCAAAGATTTTTATT